ATCAATTTACAAAGCAGGAGTTAACTTCTGAAAAAAATAAAACCATATTGTTTAATGCAAGCTGTGCCAGTCACAGCCAGAGGAGGTATGGCTAGGGCAGCATAAACAAAAACAAAATTGATTTAACTCCTAAATGACAGATAATTGGGCTGTGAGACTGCAGAAACATGATCTATATACATAAACTGCTTTATTACGCTTGTGTTTTGGTGACTATAGTGTCCCTTTAATAAATCCCTTCCTTCCAGGTTATTCAGACATTATCATCTCTTGGTACACATGAGCTGATAGCTCCTTAGAACAGCTGCAACAACATCTGCCTGGTGTTTGTGAATGGCTCCATCTTTCAGTGACCAACATGAGGGGTTTTTCCAGGGGTACTGAACTAACCTTTTAGAAGCCCACCCATACGGTTAGGGATTGATAAAGCAGACAGTGAGCCAGAAGGTTAGAAAGCGCTAGAACCGAGGATCTCTTTTTGCAGGTCTGATGGGGTGCTTTTTGTCTGTGCAGCAATGAGCTCAAGCTCTGGAGGGCAGATTGTGACTAAACCTTTTCGGAGTCTACACGTGGCTCCCAAGTTTCAATAAAAGCTTTAAATATATGCTTTATCAGTGGTCACGGGGAGCTAGACATAAACACAAGCGCTCTGAACATATTTCAGCCCCTCTAAATCCACAAACCAGAACAGTTTTTCCATATTAGTATGTATACATATGCTACACGTATGGCCAACGTATACATATAATATACATCTGGTTCTTCCACAGCCAGGCACTTCTGCTAGGTGTCCATTTCAGGTTCACCAGTGAATTGAATTTGTTCTGGGTGTACAAACACTGGCGACCATACTTGGGGCTTAGAGATATGGTATGAATCAGTTCATGCACAGCTGTCTCTCAGCAAACAGGAAGGAGGGAAAGGTTTATACAATGTCTCCCTGCAATAAAAACACGTTCTTTGAAATACTGTCTTGAAAAGGAGACATAGGGATTAGGGGGACAAAGGCCTATTAATGTAGCGTATTAAACTCTGTCACCGTAATATAAGAAATAATGGAACTGGGGAACGTCTGTCGTAATAAAATTTCAGGTCTCCTTTTAAACATGTCCACGTTAATCGAGTCAGCTTCGAGAATCCAACAGTCGGGTGTTTAGGGACAATGGATCATTGTAAGCTTTTTTTGTGGGGGAAGGAAGTAGCTTTGTGTAAAATAAAACTAAAATTAAAAAAACAAACACCACACATTTTGGGACAAAAAAAAATAATGTAAACGGGCCAAAAAATAACACTAACTTGTTTGTTACTTCTTCCAGTCTGACTATCAGGTAGGGGAATCTGACTGCACGTTAACAGGACAGGCTCAGACAGCGCTAGGTTTATATCTAATGTAGGGGATCTGACCGCATGTTATCAGGACAGGCTCAGACAGCGCTGGGTTTATAGCTAATGTAGGGGATCTGACTGCATGTTATCAGGACAGGCTCAGACAGCGCTGGGTTTATAGCTAATGTAGGGGATCTGACCGCACGTTATCAGGACAGGCTCAGACAGTGCTGGGTTTGTATATAATGTAGGGGATCTGACTGCACGTTATCAGGACAGGCTCAGACAGCCCTGGGTTTATATCTAATGTAGGGGATCTGATTGCACGTTATCAGGATAGGCTCAGACAGCGCTGGGTTTATATCTAATGTAGGGGATCTGACCGCACGTTATCAGGACAGGCTCAGATAGTGCTGGGTTTATATCTAATGTAGGAGATCTGACCGCACGTTATCGGGACAGGCTCAGGCAGCGCTGGGTTTATATCTAATGTAGGGGATCTGACTGCACGTTATCAGGACAGGCTCAGACAGCACTGGGTTTATATCTAATGTAGGGGATCTGACCGACGCTATCGACAGGCTCAGGCAGCTGGGTTTATATCTAATGTAGGATCTGACTGCACGCTATCAGACAGGCCTGCACAGCACCGGGTTTACTCCAATGTAGGGATCTGACTGCACGCTATCGACCGGCCTGTGACAGCACTCGGGCCTATATCTAATGTAGGGGATCTGACTGCACGTTATCAGGACAGGCTCAGACAGAGCTGGGTTTATATCTAATGTAGGGGCTCTGACGGCACGTTATCAGGACAGGCTCAGACAGCGCTGGGTTTATATCTAATGTAGGGGATCTGACCGTACGCTATCAGGACAGGCTCAGACAGCGCTGGGTTTATATCTAATGTAGGGGATCTGACTGCACGTTATCAGGACAGGCTGCGACAGCGCTGGTTTATATCTAATGTAGGGGATCTGACTGCACATTATCAGGACAGGCTCAGACAGGGCTGGGTTTATATCTAATGTAGGGGATCTGACCGCACGTTATCAGGACAGGCTCAGACAGCGCTGGGTTTATATCTAATGTAGGGGATCTGACTGCACGCTATCAGGACAGGCTCAGACAGTGCTGGGTTTATAACTCATGTAGGGGATCTGACTGCACGTTATCAGGACAGGCTCAGACAGCGCTGGGTTTATATCTAATGTAGGGGATCTGACTGCACGTTATCAGGACAGGCTCAGACAGTGCTGGGTTTATATCTAATGTAGGGAATCTGACTGCACATTATCAGGACAGGTTCAGACAGCACCGGGTTTAT